TTTCTTTCTTTCTTTCTTTCTTTCTTTCTTTCTTTCTTTCTTTCTTTATAAAGGGAAACAGCTTTACAAAGGAAAAGTGGGAAGGGGAAGGTTTAAACCTTTTTGTTTTCAATATTCTTGGTTAGCAGCTCTCAGTTGTTTACAACAGCATAAAGAAAAAAAGAGGATTTGTATATAGTCTATATATCATGTGATTTATTTTGGGCTCAAACTAAGCAGTGAACAAACAACATTATTATAAATGCCATATTTATCTAATGTAGTTCATTCTTGGAAGTTCAAGTACAAATCTATCCAAGCAGTTGTGGATCACATATACTGTTGAATCATAGCTTGTTTCGATAATGTTTCCCTAATAAGGTAAAGTGTTTGATACACATTAAGCTATAAGTCATGATTTAAAAGCCACAATGCCTTGCTTTTACAACTTGTTAAGCCCAAAAGCAAGCCAACTGCATTATGATTTAACATAAGCTATGATTCAAGTGAAGGTATTTAATATCAAGTATGTATTTTGTAGCTATTGCTTCTTAAAATGTAAATTATTTGTAGTGGTTATCCTGAGAATAAAAGGTGGATAAAGATTTGGAAGGGCATTCTACACAAAAGCTCAATGCAATTAAATCAAATGCCTTACCCACCTTCAGTATGCACAGCAGATACATATGTCCAGTTGTAACGTTTGACGATGTCAAGCATGGCTCTAGCTTGCAGAATGTCAGATGGAACCACCCTCAAGAAATATTTGTATAGAGTTTTGTCACTCAGATCAATACTGGTTGCAGAATAAGCAATCTGAGGAATATCAAAAAGTTGAAGCAGATTTTGCACTTGGATGGCTACAGAACTGGAACCTGGACCAATGACACCAGCAATGGGTTTTTTAGCCCTGATCTGGTGGTGATATAAAGGATCTGGCAGGCAACGACCCAGGGCATCTTTTTCATCTCGGATAGAGATCAAAGAATCCCTTATGAATTCAATACTCTGTTCCAAGGCTACTGAAGAATGCCAGCAGGAATCTCGAATTTCACTGCCAAGAGTGATGTTGGGCAGCAGAAATGGGTCTGAGTTTATCTTATCCAAAGTGTGAAACATGGCCTCAACTCTCTGGATGCCATATTGCTCTCGGATCTCACCACACTTCCTTTCTGGCACCTTCTCAGCTGGGGGTTGGTGATGGACTGAAAAGAGGGCTCCTATAATGACATCCCCATCCATTCTGGCTACTGATCTTTGGGAGGTAGCTGCTGAAACCAAAACCTTTCTCCCAGTATTCTTGGGGAGAAAGTCCATCTCCAAGAGGATAGCAGGAAAAAAGACAAGCAGGACCCCTATCATCTTATTGCAGGAGACCATCCAGATCCAAGTGACCAATTTCATGGGATCTTCTTGTCTACACATGGTTAAAAGCATAAAGAAGACCACAGACTTTCTTCACTCTTTCACTTCTTAAGAATCTCCAAGCAAAAGCTCAAAGGGGCAATAGAAGTCACTGTAGGCGTAAATTGTAGCCTGTTGACACTAGAAGAAAGAACAGAACACAATCATCAGCTAAAAGTATGGCACAGCCAAACACTGTAAAGGTCATTTCCTTTATAAGTATCCCTCTCCACCTGCCTAGATGATTAGTAGACACCACAATCAATTGGCTGCCAATAGCAAATTGTCCTTAAATACAATTTCCAAAACATAAAATATCTATCTATCTATCTATCTATCTATAATCTATCTATCTATCTATCTATCTATCTATCTATCTATCTATCTATCTATCTATCTATCATCTATTTATCTATCTATCTATCCATCATAGATGAAGTTAACAGAAAATTCATTTCACATAATATTCTAATTGTGATCCATTCATTGGCAGTTATTTACATGACCAGTTGAATTCATTCATACTTGACAATCTGCATGTATATCATTGATAATATATTTTATGTACTAGGTGAAGTGGCTTTTACCTGTATGCTGATATTTGAACAGGACTGAGGAAACCTTATAAGTTATCAAACTTCCATAGGTTGTGTAATTTAAAAAAAACAAACCAAGTTGTTTACTCAAGGATCAGAAAGCTACACCCGTTCCAAACATCACCAAAAAGAAAAAGGGGAAATCAACGCAGAAAGAAAATGTCATTTAAAGGTCAAGCTCGAATTGTTAAACAACCAAATAAGGTACCAGCCTTTTGTGGCAAAATTATTAATCTTTGGAATTTTGAAAGGAAAATCTGTAGTTCTGTATGAGCTACAACTATGCAAGCCGTGGGAAAAACATATTAGTTTCTAAGGCAACCGCAGACAAAGTCCTGATGTGCTTTTCTGGCACCTCTTGGTTTTCATGCAGACTTTGGGCAGGAGAGGTGGCAAGTCAGGCGGCTAGAGTTTAAGTAGTTTAATGCGATTTAAAAGGCGATCGGCCGGTGTTCGAGATAATTGCTAATAGGAAAGAGATGTTTCGCTGAGCTCGCCTGTTTGGGCTTCCTGTTGCATGGGCTAGGCTACTTATGATTTCAGGACCCTGGACAGCGATTTCCGCAAACCCCAATCCTAAGGAGTTCCTCCGGTCCTGGAAATGGAGAGATTCAAGGGCGATGCGAAGCATTTTGTGCCCGAAACTTCTTGCTTTCGCTGCTTTTTTATCTTTGTACCTATCAAATTCGCTCAGACAAACACACGCACGCACGCACCTCTTTCACTAGCACCATCCTTCCTCCCGCCAATGCCTGACAACAGAATAAAATACATACAGAGAATTCCAGTTGCAGCAGCTCCTGCTTCCCATTCTTCTCGGAATGGCTTTTTGAATGCCTACAGAATTAAGCAGCGGCGGTAGGTTTTTCTATCGCAAGGCAGATTTCAAATTGCACCGTACTCTCTTCACACCCCCTCCCTCTTTCTTCTCCCTGAAGGACGGGAAGCCCAAAACACCACGAAGGAGAGGGGGAATGAAAGAGGTGGAAGAAAGATGCTCCGAGGAAGGGAATCAAGTCCCATTTTTCCCTGCGCAAACGCACGCCGAATACAGCCGGGGGTCTCAAATTGGTCGGGAAATCCACCCTATCAGTCATCCATCGGCATGTATAATGAAGTCTTGGGCTGGGCTCTTTTGCCTACGATCTTAAGCTCGCTCTGATTAAACTTAAGACAGACCTACCTTCACCCGAATCCAGGACGCAATTCGTTCCTTCCTTGGTCAGAACATTTATTGCCAATTATTCTCTTTGCCAGAAGCTGGTAGAGGCAGATGGAAGGAGATGGGCTGTACGCGACTGCCCTCTTTCTTCAACGTGGTTTTACCGCATGAAGCAAGAAGAGGGGGCGGCGGGGGGGGGGGGGGGAGGAAGCTCAGGTCATCCAAGGCTTTTCGGGTATACAGAGGTTGCCCATCCTTCCCACCGCCCTTCCCCGGATTCCCCCACTTTCCTCCAGCTCTTTTCTGATCATCAGTTCCTATATTGTATATGTGTGTCTCAACGGGGGAAGAGCTTGGCTTTTGAAGTACCAGCAGTTCATTGCTTCCCTATCAAATAAGCAAGCACCAGTATATGAAGAGGAAAATAAAGAGGGGAGGGAAGAATTGGATTCAGAAGTGTACATACAGATCTGCTTTTCTTTTTACTCTTGTAGTTTTATTTGCAATTGAAAATTTAGTTTTTCTAATACTGGAAGTAAATACTACTCAGAGGAAGAGAGATGTGGGAAAGGAGAGGGGGAGGGAGAAAGGGAGAGAGAAGGAGGGAGAGAGGGAGAGGGACTGAGGGAGAGGGAGAGAGAGACCCTGTTGAAATTTTCAAACATTTGAATGAAGGAAAATGGCATCCAAATAAGTAGAAGGTGGATTCTTTAAAAATCAGTCTGGTACATGTATGTTGGGAGTGTGTCTGGTTAAAATAACATCAAGTTGAAAGATACATTGGAAGAGTTTGCTATGCTGATAACTATAGCAGTTTTGGACCCTAGTGTTTTCAGTTTATTATAAGGAAATTGAAGTTAAAGTGGCATCTTGCTGGAAAGAGCAGACCCAGTCAAGGTGTCCTACTTCAAAAGAAGCAGACACATTTTATGAGGTGTAGAACTGTGGCTCTGTACTGATTTACAGTGGGTTATCTCCCAGGGTTTTCTTTTAACCTTTGTGATCTTCTTATAATTACCTTCTTATAATAGGGATACATCTATTAGAATCCTCATTTAAAATAAATAGAAAATGCACGTATTTATGTCTCTTTGTATGTTTGTGTGTGTTTGTGTGTGTGAGTGTGTACATGTATGTGTGTCTGTATTTGCTGAGAAAAAAAAAGAATTGGTTCTTTCCTTGCCTAAAAGGCACCCATGGAGATGTGCATTTCATAGAAGACCTTGAAACAACCGAACCTACCATGTTTAAAATAAGCATCATTGTTGATATTAAATAATAGGAGCCAGATTGGCTAAAATACCCACATAACATTTGATGCTTGGAAGACTTACCAACTGTCTATTTTACATCTTCATTTCAATCACTCTGTTCACCTAACATGTCCCTCTGGGTAACTGGTTCCAAAATCTGTTCACTACCAAGGGAACAGCCTACACATGAGCATCACAAGTTCTACTGCAGAAAAGGGAGGAATCATATATGATGTGAAACCCATCTAAAAACACATTAGATCATGAAGTTAGTCAGGAAAACTGTTTCAAAACCAGTCATTGATTAACCAAGGAGTTAGATGGCATCTAGCCATTGATTTTAATTAATTATGCATTCATTCATTCATAAAATTTATATCCTTCATTTCACTGTTTAACAACCTCAGAGTGTGGATCCAATTGAACTACTTTTTTTTAAATCCCCAGTTAAAAGAATTACAAAGAAAACAGTTAATAATTCAATGAAATGTTTGTCTTGAAAATTCTCAATTTTATACAGTTGTTTCTACAATGTGTTTTTAATCTTGATTATTAACCCATCTGGATTTTTTAAAAGCCAAATTACAAATCCGAGGAGTCTCATACCACCCAATTGATTGGAGTAGGATATAAGCTCCATCAATAAATAAAACATTGCCCTCTATATGTGTGTATATAAAATAGTAAGTAATACAGGTAATTTTGATTTAATAACCTTTGCAGTTACAACTGATGGAAAAGTAATGTTATGACCAATTCTCACATTTACAACCTTCACGAGTCTATAAAGTAAAGGAAAGCTGAAGTAGGATCATAATCATATTCTCACTTTCATTTAGCAAAACCTTTTTGCTCACAAATCAAGTTCCCAGTCACAATTGTAGTCTCTAAACAAGGACTTCCTGTACCATCAAAATGGAAACAGGTTGCATCATTCCTTCAAGAATTGGATGGATAGAGAGCTACATAGTAACACAGCACAGGGATCTGTGCACTCAAACTAAGAATACCTTTCTTTTGGGTCACACAAAATTCATTGCTAGCAGATATGGCACCCTCTAGAGGGCTTTTGTACCAGATTTTCAGTTAATCAAGTATGTAATGGAGCTGATGCTTCACCATATATTTAAGATTCTAAGACTTTTGAGGTTTTTCTATAAGTAGTGTAAGCATTTGGCATAATCTGTTTGTGGTAGGTTTCCTCTTTCAGCAATCTAACTGAAGAAGTTGCACTACCTCCATCTTCCAGTCTATATAGCAGTTTGCAATAATCTGAACCTGAAGTTTTCAAATGCATGAATTTTAGGGGATCACTTATTTTATCCAGGAATTACCATAACTGATGTGGTTCTATAAGTTCTAGAAAAAGGCTGAAAAACTATCTCTGTGCCAATAAAATTGTCAGCTTTGGAAGCCATGTTGAGATCAGAGGCTCCCATGCTGCCACATTTGAGCCTGGGAAAGTGGGAGGGGAGAATTTCTTGGAGTATATCTGGGTAGACAAAATAACATTCTTTTTTCTGATTCAAGGTCATGTTGTTTTGCACATAAGTGAGAGGAAGTCTTAACCTGGGGCGGATGGTGATTAGGCCATGTGATGTGAGGATGGATGCAGGGGATGGATTTGTAGTTTTTACTTATTGTAAGGAAGCCTGGAACTTTCAGATTCGAGATTCCCTAGTTGTGCCAGTTACTATCCAAATAAAAAGGAACCTTTGAGAAGATGTCTGTCTCTAAGTTATTGGGTGGAATGGAGGGTTGCTGGAATGCTGACATTATCCTGAATCTCCCATTTATCTCATTTATCTCCCATTTATCCCATTTATCTCCCATTTATCTTCTCAAAGGTTCCTTTTTATTTGGATAGTAATTGGCACAACTAAGTAATACTGAATCTGAAAGTTCCGGGCTTCCTTACAATAAGTAAAAGCTGACAAAAACTCTAGAAAGAATGCAGAGAAGAACAACTAAGGTGCTTAGGGGACTGAAGATTAAAACGTATAAAGAACGGTTGCTGGAACTGGGTATGTCTAACCTGATGAAAAGAAGGACTAGGGGTGACATGATGGCAGCATTCCAATATCTCAGCAGCTGCCACAAAAAAGAGGGAGCCCAGCTATTCTCCAAAGCACCTGAGATCAGGGCAAGAAGCAATGGGTGGAAACTAATCACGGAGAGAAGCAACTTACAACTAAGGAGAAATTTCCTGACAGCTAAAACAATTAATTGGTGGAACAACTTGCCTCCAGAA